GGGGGGATGGAGAGGCAGAGCCCAGATAGCTGGGCTGACTCGTGGATTACATGGGGTGAGTTAGAGGAGCCAGCTTTCAGGGGAGAGAGACTCACTGTAAAAGTGGGAGGGAATTTATATGGGGGAGGCTTACAGTTCCAGGCATAAGGAGGAATCGAGTAGAGATTTCCACACAGTGAACCGGCTGAGTGATTTAACCACCTTGTATGTCACAAAGAGAGTCTCCCTCTGGATGAGGAGTTGGCCTGGGGACCATTAAGGCCCCTTTCTGTTCCACTCCTGTGAGTCCCTGGAGGTCAGTGATGATTGGTAAAAGGTCTGATTGCACTTAATGTCACAGCCCCTTCCTTGCCCTCAACTCCCAGCAGCCCATTGTTTTTTCCTGTCACATTGAAGTCGTGTGTATGGGATAATGGAGCAGCTGATAATTTGGGATTCTGTCAGCGTGTGTTTCTGAGAGGATACAGTTCACAGCTGACAAATATCCAACAGAACCAGCTATGCAGGAGATTGAAGAGCGGCAGTCATGGGTGTGATGGTGCATGATCTCAAGTTTTCAATCTGAGACCTCTTAAGTAGAAAGATATAAAAAAAAAAGAAAAGGAAGGGAATCACATGGAGGCAAAAAGGTTGGTCACCAGCTTTTCAGCAGTGGGACACGAGGGCTGGGTCAGGATCAGATCACCAAGCAAAATAAAGTGATGTTTATATCCCAGTCGGTTAATAGTCATGCTTTCGATAATATTTCAGACATCGTTTTCAGTCCTAAGCAAATGTGACAGTAAGATTTTGTTTTCCCAAAATGATTTAGGCAAGTGATTGATGACCTGTTTATTTTTATTTATTTATTTTTTTTTTAAAGATTTTATTTATTTGACAGAGACACAGCGAGAGAGGGAACACAAGCAGGGGGAGTGGGAGAAGCAGGCTTCCCGCGGAGCTGGGAGCCCGATTTGAGGCTCGATCCCAGGACCCTGGGATCATGACGTGAGCCGAAGGCAGACGCTTAACGACTGAGCCACCCAGGCGCCCCCCAATGACCTGTTTAATAATCTAATATTTATAATCCACATTTTCCACAGTCTTTTTTTTCCCTTTTTATTATGGAAATTTTCCAACATTTGTGTGATAGGGAGTAAAAGAACTTCCGGGTCCCATCATCCATCATCCTGTCAGGCAGCCCCAGTTAGCTGCGTCTGCCAGTTTTATTCTCTCTGCCCCACACACTTTTGCCAGAGCAATTTAAAGCAAATCCCAGACATTGTAGTTCATAAAGATTTCAGCATCCATAGTCTGTTTTTCTTTTTTTTTTTTAAGATTTATTTATTTTAGAGAGGGTGGAGGGGCAGAGGGAGAGAGAGAGTTCCAAGCGGACTCCCTGCTGAACACAGAGCCTGATGTGGGGCTCAGTTGGACACCCAACCGACTGAGCCACCCAGGCGCCCCCATAGTCCTTTAAGAGAGGTTTTAGTGACATCTGGTATTCTTTTCTCCCATTCTAGGAGGGCATGCTTTTTACTCCATTTCCCTTCCCATCTTGAACACAAAAAAAGATGCCATCTTTTCAGATTGTTCTAGTTTGGATGCCAGTCTCAAAAATTTCCCTGCGAAGGGGTGCCTGGGTGGCTCAGTCGATTAAGAGTCTGACTCTTGATTTCAGCTCAGGTCATCGGCTCGGGGTCCTGAGATCAAGCTCTCTGTTAAGCTCCGCACTCAGTGGGGAGTCTGCTTGGGATTCTCTCCCTTCCCCTCTGTCCTTCCCTGTGTGCGCTCTCTCTCTCTCCAAAATAATTAAACTTTTAGAGAAAAAAAATTTCCCTGTGAAGAATTTATTTTTTTAAAGATTTTATTTATTTATTTGACAGAGAGCATAAGCAGGGGAAGCAGCAGGCAGGGGGAGAGGGAGAAGCAGACTTCCCAATGAGCAGGGAGCCCAACGAGGGGCTAAATCCCAGGACCCGGGGATCATGACCTGAGCCGAAGGCAGACGCTTAACCGACTGAGCCACCCAGGCATTCTTCCCTGTGAAGAATTCAAATTCTCCCAAGTCACACCTATTTTATTGAAGGCCTATTCACGATCAGGCACAGTCCTGGGTCACACAACTTGGCGGAAGTCCTTTTCTATAGATGAGCAACTGAGCTGAGACTTCAGAAAGTTAACAAACTTGGCAAAAGTGACCCTACTAGTACACACTAGTGCCGTATTGTTTCCAGAACTGAATAGAATCCCACTGTAGCACTGATGTATAGTAGCAGGACTGGTATCTGCTCGTATTAGGACTCCATATGAGGATATACTCACATTAGGAAAGCCCGTAAAGACTTTATCATGAGAAGCCATGCTGTACTTTGACTACATAGTTTAGCATGTAGCATTAACATAATCTGGACCAAAAGAGAGGCAGTTAATCAGAGGCTTACTTTTAAGCTATTAAGATCATAGTAGAAGATAGACTGAAATTTCATTTTTCTTAAGAAGAAATAAAATTAATGCAAAGAGAAACTTCAGGCAGTTAGTCTACGGGGATTTTGAATACTCTTTAAGAAGGTTGCAATGTATTTAAATAAGTGGAACTGTAACTATAAGAATAAAATGGTAACAATCTTAGGAGACCCTGGGCTAGGAATCCAAGTTAGTTTATGAGCAGATCTCCTTCATTTCTGGATGAGTGTCGTAACACCTTTGGTTAGGCATCCAGAGTGTTCATTTGTACTGGGCTTTCTCTCTGGAATGACCATGATGGGGGCTGAAGCAGGGTGCTTGTCTTGCAGGATGCTCACGATGGGGAAGTCAACGCTGTGCAGTTCAGTCCAGGCTCCCGGCTGCTGGCCACAGGAGGCATGGATCGGAGAGTTAAGCTTTGGGAAGTGTTTGGAGGTGAGACCCCAGAGTGCAAAGAGCCTGCATTGGTGACATCTGGTTGACCTTGCTTTCAGGCAATCTTTAAATCATTCACCTTCTTCAAATAGCCTGTATTTTGTGTAAGGAATTACCTGACCAAAGCATTATCACCATCTCAGATGCTATAGCTGAGTGGCTATTTGCTCGGGGTTTTAAAGTAGTGACTAGAAAATGCTCTTAAGTTATGGATTCGTTAGTGTTTATGTTTTCTCAGATATAATTAGAACATCTTCCAAGATAATACAGGTTTTAGAAGCAAAATAAAAAGTCTTAAAGTCGTAGACTTTAGAATTAAACTATACATTGAGCTGAGGTGTGTGCATTTAATAACACCAGTGGCTTTGGCCTAGGGAAAAAGATTGAGGTCACATCTAAGCTTGAGACTAAAAAGAGGGGTGTATCTTTCAGGAAAAATGTATTCAACAAGCCGCTTATCGTCAAGGGCCGGAAGATCAAGACCTTGTTTCAGAAGTGGCTTCAGAGTACTCAGATGGGAAGCATTAAAACAGGAAATGGGACTTAATGCATCTCTTAGAATTCTGAAGCTGGGGATAGCTCAATTTCAGCATTTTGAGATTTAGTTAAATCTCATGGTTTTTTTTTTTT